GGGGTTTGACCACAGGTGTTTTCTCAGCAGAGGGTCTTTGATCACAGGTGGTCCATCAACTGGTGTTTGATCACAAGCGCTGTGTCCGAGGTCGTCGCATCCGTGGTCGTGGCGAAAAGTACAAGCTTGCTTTGTTTCCCGTTGAAACTTGGAATCAAATGCACACGATTGGCTATGGTGTAGCACGAACAAATAACATTTGTGAAGGATGGCATTACAGTCTTTAGTCTCTCCTCCAATGTAGTCACCCAACAATGTGGCGTTTCCTTGAAGGTCTACAGATGGACTGCACACGGCAAAAGACAACTTTCTTGCAAGGTGTCGCAGGGGCAAGCTACCCAGCTGAGAAGCGATACAAGATGCTGAACGAAAAAGTACAACGTGCTGTCCAGACATATGGTCAAACAGATGTACTGACATATTTGCGTGCTATAGCACATCTGTCATTTAGTTAACTATTTTATGTATTACATCTTTGACTATATTGTTGGCAAGTTTTGTATCATTTTTTATCCTTTTATCCTTTATATATGCTATGTATTTTCAAGTACATCTACATTATTTATTTGTGAAACTTGTTATATGTCGCATTATTTGTGTTTCATTTATATTTAAAATAAGTCTATGAGGCCTAGCACCAGCCTTTATGTGGAGACTAAAATATGGTTCTTGGCTTTTTTACTTTCTCGTATATACGTAGTATAGAGAAAGTATTGTAATCGTGCAAAAAAAAAAATCGAGATTTTTACAAATCTCGACGTTTTACACCTCACTGATACGGAAAAACATAATTTTGCAATCTTGTCCGTATGTCTGTGTGTCTGTGTGTCTGTCTGTGTGTGTGTCTGTCCGTGTGTAAACACGATAACTTGAGTACCGTTACAGCTAGGTTGATGAAATTTCATATATAAGTATTTTATCAAAATCGTAGATCCGTATCAACTTTTGAGCGATTTCCGATAACCGGAAGTGGTACTTTTCCTACTTTGAATTTTTTAAAAGCCTATAACTTGAGTACTATTTCAGATAGATAAATGGAATTTCTCATGTAAGTAAAAGATCTAATTCTCTACCTTCTGTTAAATTTTGAGTAATTTCCGGTTTATTTAAATACATGTTAATTTCTATTAACGTTCTCTCAGGAAACATGTATAAAATCGTGTTAATTGTATCACACCTATGATCAAAGCCGGACACAGCGCTTGTGATCAAACACCAGTTGATAGACCACCTGTGATCAAAGACCCTCTGCTGAGAAAACACCTGTGGTCAAACCCCCTATGGTCAAACCCCCTATGGTCAAAGCACCGCTATGGTCAAAGGCCCGCTGTGGTCAAACCCCCTATGGTCAAAGCCCCTATGGTCAAAGCTCCGCTGTGGTCAAACCCCCTATGGTCAAACCCCCTATGGTCAAAGCACCTGTGGTCAAAGGTCCGCGCACCGTTGTTTCCCCTGGTTCTCCCAGCTCTGTCCGTAGTCCAGGTCTAGCATGGAGGATCTGTACGTGTTCACCACAAACCTGAGAGGGGGGGGGGGGGGGGACAAGAGGGTCACTCAGTCAAAATGTTTTGTTCAACATGATAACAGTGCACATTGTTTTACTCTTGTAAGAGGAAATGTGTCTTGGCATTGTCTGGTAAAAAAACTGAATTGTCGATGTTTACATCAACATGTTTGGCTAATAGAAATGTGCATTCCCATACTAGAAGAAATATTTAGAGCCCATATTATAATAAATGTGTACAGACCATATTAAAAGCGATGTGTATTGCCCATTTTAAAAGAAATATGTATAGCCCATATTAAAAGATATGTTTATAGACCATATTAAAAACGATGTGTGTTGCCCATATTAAAAGAAATGTGTGTGGCCTATATTAAAGAAATGAGTACAACCCATACTAAAAACGATGTGTACAGACCATATTAAAAGCGATGTGTATTGCCCATTTTAAAAGAAATATGTATAGCCCATATTAAAAGATATGTTTATAGACCATATTAAAAACGATGTGTGTTGCCCATATTAAAAGAAATGTGTGTGGCCTATATTAAAGAAATGAGTACAACCCATACTAAAAACGATGTGTATTGTCCATATGACCATGGAAACTGTGACCTACCCTCCAGGTTTGGTAATGCGGATCAGCTCTCTCTGTACAGATGGTGGCAGATGGTTCTCACATACTCCACCGCTGATAGCAACAGCGTCGTAGGTGTCTGGTGGAAACACAGGCAAGTTAGGTGGAACAACAGGTGGAACAACAGGTGTCAGAGACAACAGGTGGAACAACAGGTGTTGGACAAAAAAGGTGAAACCACAGGTGCCAGACAAAACAGGTGAAACAACAGCCATCAGAGTTCATCAGACAAATTAGGTGAAACAACAGTCCTCAGGCAATTTACATGAAACATCACATATCAGACTAAAACGGTGTAACAACAGTTACATGATATTTTTTAACTTGCCTGGCTCAGCTAGACGTGAGGTGTAATGTGACCTAGTTCGACCACTGACAACTTACCTGTCTCCCATGGCAACACCGTGTCGTCAAAGATGAGACACCTGATAAAACGTGAGTAGATCTTCTTCTCCCTGCACATGTCCAGCATGGTCTCGGCGCCATCGTGAGCCACCAGGTTCTTGAACCCGTGCTTGTACAGCTGCTCACCCACAAGACCTGCAACACGGTACACACGTAGTCTACACACTGGGAAGACAATAAACATTTTGTCTACACACTGACAAGACAATAAACAATGTTCACATTTTATCTAGACAATGACAGACCATAAACAGAGTTCACATTTCGTCTACACACTTTGATCTTTTTTTTTATTAACAACTCAACACGAATGTAACTACTACCTTTTTTCTCTTCAAAGTTCAGCTTACCGGAACCAGCACAAAGGTCAAGGACGAGTGCATCCTTCCTGTCGCCAAGGACAAAGGCCACCATGTCGGCGCAGTAATTTGGTCCGGTGTACTTCATCTTCTGGACGGCGTCAAAAAAATCCTCCACCTGTTTTCTTTTATCGTATTCTACGGGGAATCAATGGGGTTAAAATATTAATGGAAGTTACTTGCAGCTTAAGTCATTCAATGTAACACTTTCTCTGGTAGTTCTCTATGGAGAACCACAGTAACCCTTTCTCGTGTAGTTCATAGGTCACAGATAGCCTATATGGCACTATTGTGCATACTGTATTGTTCAAATGCAAATTCAGATTTTAACCTTTTAGTGCAACTTTAGTTGTTACACACTTAAGTATGCAAAGTAGGGTATAATCAACACCAACTTATGAACCAATCCAAATATTACCTTCCACACAAAATATTACCTTCCACACAAAATATTACCTTCCACACAAACTATCACCTTCAACACAAAATATTACCACACAAAATATTACCTTCCACGCAAAATATTACCACACAAAATATTACCTTCCACGCAAAATATTACCACACAAAATATTACCTTCCACACAAAATATTACCTTCCACACAAATTATTACCTTCGACACATTTCTCAACGCCTAACCCAGGCGTGTGGTACTTCAGGATGATCTGACTGGCATTTTGAAGATCAGAAGGCAGTGCCATTTTTTCTGGAATACTAACATTTACTTCAGAGTTAACAACGTTGATCTCATAAACTGTTAAATCTCATATTTTAAGTCTGCTGGTATCATGCATTTAATGTTTTAATTCTGTAGGTTTGTGGAAATTTAGATCTATATCCTGGTAAATGTACAAGGAAATATGTTGGCAAATGGAAATAGATCTAATTGTCTCCCAACCCCCTCATGGTAATTTCATTAATCATAAAGTAACAGATAGTAAACTTTATATTTATCATGCCAGATGTATCCATAGTAACATAAGTAAACATGCATGTAAGTAAAGTCAAACGATTAGATTTAGATTTTTTAATTAATATAGTTTTAAAGTCGATTTTGTAAAACAAAAACTTACCGAGGTTTAGCTTATCTCGTAAGTGTGGTAGACTGGACGATATCTGGACTATGTGAAACAGTAATTAGACACAGAAGTTTAGACCTACGCCCATAAATCAGTGGGTCTCTCCCCACTCCTACCAACAACTGTACGAGTTCTAGTCCAGTTTGAGACAGGTCACTTTATACCTGCCACTGACAGATGACATGAGTGCCACGAGTGACGACACGATGGACAACATGAGTGTATGGACGCACACACCTTGGGTCAGTGGTCAGAATTTGGGGGAGGGTCCGTTGACCGTCAAGAAAAATTACAAATTTATTTTTAAAAAATTCTAATCTGTACACTACATACCGTTTTTTTAATGCAGTTAAAGCTTGTTATAATAAAAGTTTTAATGTTCTTACATCCCTTGAGAGATAATCTATTTCTTTTTGGTTATTTTGTGTGTAAAATTGTATTAATTTTAATGAATAATCATCTATCTAATCACACCTGAAATCCAATCATACCTGCCTTGTTTTAAGATAGGCACCTATCGAAAAAGTTTGAAAGAATTCGCTTTGTTAGAAATTGGCAATCGTTGACTTGCAAGATTTAACCACAAACCCACAGACAAACGAACGCATAAACAAATAAACCCACCAACAAACAAAAACCCACAGACTAATATCTCATAAAGACTGGTTCAACATGTCCGCAATGACCCGACACCTGGGATGTACATTCTTTAAACTCTGTGTCGTGTCAACATTGGCCGACTTATTTTGCAACCACGGCGGCGGTGATAAATTGGTCCAGATTTGACTAACACTGTTAGCTCTACTTGAAAATTCTATCTACTCGGTAGGTCACCATGAAGCTAGAATCCAGCGTTTAGAAACATAAAACTGACAAATACACAATTAACATAACGAACATTGAGCAACCAATGAATGTTTGGTCTCATAATTTTATGGATAACTCAAAATTTCCTAAAAACGAATTCACACAAAATAAATTTTAAAATCCCCGGAACAAAGAGTTAAGGGTGGATCACTCGGGGAGAGAACCGATGTTCTGTGATGACAGAGTTACGTTCTCTGTTCTTGTCTCGTGCTGGTGTCTACTGATGTCAGGACGAGGGCTGGAATACCTCTGTGGGAACACAGCCTGCAACATCTGGAGCCTGAAGGACTTGCTCAAACACACATAGATGAGAAAATTCGTCAGATCCCTGTTGGGAAAAAAACATCAAGATAATATATAAATATATTGGTATATATATACATATATATATATATATATATATATATATATATATATATATATATATATATATATATATATATATATATATATATATGCGTGCGTTACTAAAACTTGTGTTACCCGACACTCTGACCACCCATTTAACCAGTTACCCAATACATTAACCACCCATCTAACCAGTTACCCGACAGTCTGTGAAACGTTGACCACCCATCTAACTAGTTACCCAACACACTAACCACTCATCTAACCAGTTACCCTACACACTAACCACCCATCTAACCAGTTACCCGACAGTCTGTGAGACGTTGACCATCCATCTAACTAGTTACCCAACACACTGACCACCCATGTAACCAGTTACCCAACACACTGACCACCCATGTAACCAGTTACCCAACACACTGACCACCCATGTAACCAGTTACCCGACACACTGACCACCCATCTAACCAGTTACCCGACAGTCTGAGAGACGTTGACCGCCCTCCTAAGCAGCAGATACAGGTAGTTGTCCCGTAGCCCCATGCCGTAGGTGTAGCTGTAGTAGCTGACGATCTGGTTGATGTTGGCGGGCAGTGACAGCACGGTGTAGGCGAGTGTGGACACCACGATCATGGCGGTCATCTGACGGTCACGGCGAGGTCGTCTGCTGGCCTCTGTGTTGGCTTGTATAGCCTGGGGTAGTCAACAAAGTTTAAAACGTATTGGGAGACGAAGTGATTTGATAAATATAAGCCATTTCCAGCAATTTGGTTCTTTAAAAAAATATTACTGCTACGTCACACCAGAGTTTCTTCCGTACATCTCTTCTGTTACTGGTCAGTTGTAGGTTAGATAAAAATAGGTTAGAATAATCTAGAATTAGGGGAGAGTGCGTGTATGAGTTGAGTTACCCATAGAGTATTGTTAACAGTGTTTCTTCCAGACTTTTTTCTCCGGGGGGGCACTTGAAATTTTCGGGGGGGCGGTAGACTTTCTTCGGGGGGGCGGACACTGTTAAAAGTATATATTTTCTATATAAATTTTATAAATTTCATTTCGTTCGGGGGGGCGGTAAAAAAATTTCGGGGGGGCTTCGCCCCCCCCCCCCCCGAAGAGATGCCTGGAAGAAACTCTGATTGTTAACGTCTGTGTGTTGATGTATTGTTATCCCAAGGTCGAATGCGGTATAAAAGCTGGAGTGAATGGTTGTCAGGGGTTAGTTGGTAGTGATTAGGACGAGGGCTACTCTGGAATGTATATATTTGAGACGGAATAAAAGTAGTGACGAAGCGTTGTTGTTTATCTGAAACTAACCTGGACATAACATATTCTACCCCTACCCCCTTGAATAAAAAAAAGTATGGAATATAAAATGGAATTTATATAGAAAATATATACTTTTACCAGTGTCCGCCCCCCCCCCCCCCCACTCCGAAAATATCAAGTGCCCCCACCCCCTCTCCAGAGAAAACAGTCTGAAAGAAACACTGAGTCACATCATACCTAACCTCTTATCACACTTTGTCCCAGAAACCCGAACCCATCTTCCTTAATTACAAAATTTTAATTAAAAGCTTAATTGTTTGGTGCTAATGTCCTTGACATTCAGCCAAATCTTGTAATGGAACTTTGAAGGTCTAATAGAAAAATTTAGAAGCTAGAGCTAATTTGTGATAACGTTGTTCTGTGCTATAGTTATGTTCCAAAAAGATAAAGATTATAGCATTCTGATTTGAACATTTTTTTGATGCCTTAGTTCAAATACCTAACGCTGCAGTAATATTATAGCTGTAAACTTTCAATGGCAGCTAGAGTAACTAAATATCTGACAATGTAACAGCTCAAGGCTGCTAGGTTAAAACGAAAATTGTCTGTCTTTTATTTGTTACGTGACCTTCTCAATAACTGCTCGCTTCGTCTATCAATTCAAATCGTTCTTAAGGTTTTCAATTTAGTTTCAAGAATTTCACGATTCATTAAAGCCTCCCTTTAATATTAAGCACGACTTAATTAAGTAGGGAATATAGCAACAACTCCATTGCCTAGATTAGAGAGTTAAGCGATTTCGTCCATTGCTGATTGAAACTTATCGATCTTAAACGTAGCACAACTTTTGTAAGGATCGAGCTGATCTTGTCTACTCGCTGTTTTGTGCATCAACTGCACATTGAGAGTTTTTAAAGTTTATCTTTGTAACGTTATTACATTTTTGCGTGTCTTCTCATGCGGAGTTTATCAAAAGATTCTAGTTTTGTTGCACGAAATAAACATCGCAATCCTCATTAGACGGGAAAAGTTGCGTTTGGATGATCACTCATCCAGGGGGGCGGGGTTATTTGGTTCACAAAACCAAATACACAGACGGAAAAAACATACTAGTCGAGTATTCATAAAGCGGGAATGATGTCCCATATTTTTATATAACAGTACGGATTGGGTGGCACTTCAGTGCGATTGTGCAAATAGAAATATAGAAGTTTGTAACAAACCTGTAGTTTATCTAGAAAACATATAGATGTAAAGGCAAAAAGGTTCTAAGAATATCCTTTCCGAGAATGTGATATAAATTCATAACGTTCTGACTACGTCCCCTAAGTTCTACAGTGTAAACACAAGAACGACAACCCATGATGTACCTTGGACTTCTCTCTCAGTCCCCTGACCAGCAAGAGTAGGACGACGTTAGCGAGGAGGCTCAGGGCCAGAGGCACGTAGGAGAAGGCCGTCTTGCCGAAGTTGCTAAGTGTCTCAAACAGCTCCAGATTGTCTTTGTAGATCTGGGTGGTGCCTGGGGAGGGGCGTGGCAAGTATTGGACAGACAGACAATGTCGTGCAGTAGTAAGGTAAACATAAGGTACAAAACATTAAAAATAAAAATAAGGTAAAAATAAGGCAAGGCGTGGCCTCGCATTAGAGAGCTGGACTGCTAACCCGAAAGTATCGAGTTCGAATCCGGGTTTATGTAAGTAGAAACTCCCTGTCCATGCAGCTCTGATGGGTACCTTACTCAAGTTAGGGTAAACAAAGGTGGCTGGGCATAGTGCTGACCACACTTTCCCTTCAAATGCCGAGCTCTCTGAAACTGATGAACTCTATATCATTTGTCCACATGTGTCTTGGTCACGAACGTGGGAAAAAAAGATAAACTTCATATCCAGTAATAAAGCTGAAAAAGCTATGTTCGATTAGGCTGACTGCTAGGATTACTGTGTAGCCAACACTTACTTTGGGCGAAAACCCCAGCCTTGACCTCTATGACCGAGTAAATGGGGATGAGGTAAGCGTGGAAGGTGAAGGTCACGCACGGCACGGCTATGAAGACAGCCCTCCCGCCCTGCAGGACTGCACTGGACCTGTACTTGAGGGGAACCGTCACCGCCACGGTTCGCTGGATACTCAGGAACAGGTTGATGACGTACACTGAAAGTTCGTAAAAACTCCAAACATGCTCATGTCTACCACCAGTACTCATTGTTATTGTATTTGAAACGGAAAAGTTGACATAAAAACATGATTCGAAAATGTATTGATAAGTACAATAATCTTAATACACAAAAAGTATTTATAGGTAAGGGGAAATCATTCTCAAACAACGGCAAGTAACCACTTTTATGAGGAATACGTTCAAATAAAGAGAATTAACCCAAGCTAAGGAGAAGTAATGCTCAAAATACAAAAGTAAACCAATCTAAAGGAAAAGAACGCTTAAGTTTAGAGATTTAGAATAATTAAGTTAAAATTAGTGAGCATCTTTAAAAGTGGTAAAGAAAGCCAGTTGACCAACACTAAATTACTCAATATGGGAAGTAATCAGTCAAAAGGGAAATAACTGAGTGAAACTCACCAACACGGCGACAAGATACGATGATAACGTTAGAGATGAGCGTCCACAACACAGTTAGCCTGTCCGTGTTGCCGACCGTGTAGATGAAGATAAAAAGGACTGAAACAGACGAATGTTTTACATTTATAAAATACAGTAGTGAAATTTTTGTTGTTGGTGGAGGCTTTTTGCTGTGTCAGTCAAAACTTAGAAAAAGTAAAATATGTAATTTTTAGTTGCCTACTAATTATTTATAGCTAACAAAAAATATTTATAAATATACATTATTTAATAACTTATAATTGACAGATTAGAGACACATTTTATAAGCTCTTCTAAAAAGATAAAGTAGATGAAAACTTGATGTACTGACTGAGATTAGCTAAGTCACAGATCAACTCAAATATTTGACTGTGTACTAACTGAGATTAGCTAAGTTACAGATCAACTCAAATATTTGACTGTGTACTAACTGAGATTAGCTAAGTTACAGATCAACTCAAATATTTGACTGTGTACTGACTGAGATTAGCTAAGTTACAGATCAACTCAAATATTTAACGGTGTACTAACTGAGATTAGCTAAGTTACAGATCAACTCAAATATTTGACGGTGTACTAACTGAGATTAGCTAAGTTACAGATCAACTCAAATATTTGACTGTATACTAACTGAGATTAGCTAAGTTACAGATCAACTCAAATAGTTGACTATGTACTAACTGAGATTAGCTAAGTTACAGATCAACTCAAATATTTGTGTACTGACTGAGATTAGCTAAGTTACAGATCAACTCAAATATTTGTGTACTGATTGAGATTAGCTAAGTTACAGATCAACTCAAATATTTGACTGTGTACTGACTGAGATTAGCTAAGTTACAGATCAACTCATATATTTGTGTACTAAGATTAGCTAAGTTACAGATCAACTCAAATATTTGTGTACTAACTGAGATTAGCTAAGTTACAGATCAACTCAAATATTTGTGTACTGAGATTAGCTAAGTTACAGATCAACTCAAATATTTGTGTACTGACTGAGATTAGCTAACTTACAGATCAACTCAAATATTTGACTTCGTGTACTAACTGAGATTAGCAAAGTTACAGATCAACTCATATATTTGTGTACTAAGATTAGCTAAGTTACAGATCAACTCAAATATTTGTGTACTAACTGAGATTAGCTAAGTTACAGATCAACTCAAATATTTGTGTACTGACTAAGATTAGCTAAGTTACAGATCAACTCAAACAGGTTGAGGAAGATGATGAATTTGCTGGACGTGGTTTTCTTCTTGTCTCGACAAAATGCGAAGATGGTCAGCAGAAGGACAGGGGTTGTAATCCCATGCAGGGCGAAACGCAGTGGGTCAACTATCTGAAAGTTATATGTAAGTAAATAATTACCAACAGTAAAGTATAACTTCTAAGTGTAATCTTACAACAAATGTTATGACTGGTATAAGTGTAATCTTACAACTTACAACAAATGTTATGACTGGTATATCGGTGTAAGTGTAATCCTACAACAAAAGTTATGACTGGTATATCAGTGTAAGTGAAATCTTACAACAAATGTTATGAACGGTGTATCGGTGTAAGTGAAATATTACAACAAATGGTATGACTGGTATATCGGTGTATGTGTAATCTTACAACAAATGTTATGACTGGTATATCGGTGTAAGTGAAATCTTACAACAAAAGTTATGACCGGTGTATCGGTGTATGTGTAATCTTACAACAAATGTTATGACTGGAATATCGGTGTGATGTAAATCTTACAACAAATGTTATGACTGGTATAAGTGTAATCTTACAACTTACAACAAATGTTATGACTGGTGTATCGGTGTAAGTGTAATCTTACATTGATGTAATAGTTGTAATCGCCCTCACTGAGGTAGCCATCCAAATACTGGGTGACCCGCGCTCGTGGGGTCAATGTCCGACTGGTCGTGCTGTTGACATGAGGTTCAAGGCGCGTGATGTTTGTGTCACGTGAGCAGTTGAGAGAGGTCACTTGGTACACTGAAAGGGTAGGCCAACCAAATGTATTATTCTATTAGCACTTTTATCTATTATATCATAGCCTTACTTTTCACTACACAAACAGCAGGTTTATTCCGACAAAAGTACTTGAAAAGTCAAATTATAATTACTACTTGTGATCGAGTGTACATTTTTGTATTTTCAAAAATATATTGATGCATATGTATAATCGAATGTATAGAGCTGATGCATGTACGTCAGTTTGCGTGTTAGAAGGCACTAGCATATAGGTTGTGTAGATTTAATAATTGGTTGATGTATATGATGAAACACTTTTATTTCTAGTGTATGTGTAGGGACATAACGATTATTTAAAAATCTGGTAGTAACGTATAGTTGAACGAATATGTATATGTTTGGCACTTATCTATCTAGCATATGAGTATGGTTAAACGAAAGTTCGACACCTTCATGAGAGTATAGTTAAACGAATGTTTTACACTAACCTATCTGGCATATATCTGTTGACACTTACATATCCGGCATACGAGTATAGTTAAACGAATGTTTGACACTAACCTATCTGGCATACGAGTATAGTTAATCGAATGTTTGACACTAACCTATCTGGCATACGAGTAAAGTTAAACGAATGTTTGACACTAACCTATCTGGCATATATCTGTTGACACTTACATATCCGGCATACGAGTAAAGTTAAACGAATGTTTGACACTAACCTATCTGGCATACGAGTAAAGTTAAACGAATGTTTGACACTAACCTATCTGGCATATATCTGTTGACACTTACATATCCGGCATACGAGTATAGTTAATCGAATGTTTGACACTAACCTATCTGGCATACGAGTATAGTTAAACGAATGTTTGACACTAACCTATCTGGCATACGAGTATAGTTAATCGAATGTTTGACACTAACCTATCTGGCATACGAGTATAGTTAATCGAATGTTTGACACTAACCTATCTGGCATACGAGTATAGTTAATCGAATGTTTGACACTAACCTATCTGGCATACGAGTATAGTTAAACGAATGTTTGACACTAACCTATCTGCACTGTCGTGTTCAGAAGAAACCCACTAGGTGTAGAAACTCCAGCCTCGACTTCAGGTACTGAAAAATTGGAATGGTTACCTCCCCTATCACCTTCAACGCTCCAAACAAACATTGTTTTAGTCTCAGCCGAACGATTTTAAAACTCCTGTTCTCATTGGTCCTGTTAATGTTACAGTTGATGTTACTTTTAGGGATGCTGAATTAGGAAATTAAGCGTGTTAAAACAGAACAATCAGAATATGTCCGAACGTTGGTAACACATCGTTCACTTTTAAAACTTTTCAGTAAAATATTTGGTTATTTTTGACAATGAAACTTGGCAATGAATACCTTCTAGCTGTAACTTTAACAATAGTGTGAACCATTTTAAAACACTTTATTTTTTTAAAATTATAAACTTAGCAACCTTAAATATCTGCCGCTCGCATGGAACAAGTCAAACCTCGCGCATATAGAGAGGTCTGATCTGCCATGTAGCCTACGTGACGTACTATACTTACAAAACTAAACTTTTGATTGAAATCGATAGGATATTTGTGAACGATGCTTAAACCTGAATGCACAATGTCCCTCCGCCTCACTCAATCAGGCGGATATCTATTTTCTCAGGATTTATCTACTGATTGAAATTAAATTAAGTTAGAAAAAATAATTCCTTAAATTCCGGAAACGAAAATAAAATGGAATTGATTGTCTGATATAGAAGATCGCGCGCACGGGCGACATTAAAAATATTGCATTTTGATTGGCTAATCGATAGCGAGGTAAAAAATCTGGCTAGCCACATTTTCTCCGCGGAATGGAAACGCCTTAATTAGGGGAGACAAGGTCGGTAAAAAAAACGGGAGATAATTCACAACGTGGACGATAGGAAATAGCCAGTTAAAGTACGTAATTGTCCACCCTAATCAAGCCTAACTAACCTGAAAACGGACCACATAAAGTACTTGTTTACAATTAAAGACCTTTGTACTTTGAAAAAACATCTTCTGATTGGTTTTAACGATGAATTTTAAGAGCTCAATAACTGCTCGTTTCACCTAGTAGTTACGTGATTAAACTATACGATGCATGCTGTATAAAAATGTCCCGTATTTTAAATTGATCTTAAAAGATATAACTATATTAAATACTTAAGGGTTAGGCATTAAGGGGTTAAATTGATCTTAAAATATATAACTATGTTAAATACTAAAGGGTTCGAATAAGTCAACCATTAGTCTAGCTAATGCACCAAGCACACGTTGTTGTTGTTATTTTTAAACCAGTCGCAATTTTATTTGACACTGGTTGTGTTCATCTGCAAACCATCCATGTCACCATTGTTGTATGCTAACACATATCCATGTCACCATTGTTGTATGCTAACACATATCCATGTCACCATTGTTGTATGCTAACACATACCCATGCCACCAATGTTGTATGCTAAAACATATCCATGTCACCATGCTAGTATGCTAACACATATCCATGTCACCATTGTTGTATGCTAACACATATCCATGTCACCATTGTTGTATGCTAACACATATCCATGTCACCATTGTTGTATGCTAACACATATCCATGTCACCAATGTTGTGTGCTAATAAATATCCATTTCACCACTGTTCTATGGTAACGCATATCTCTCACACCTATTGAGAGGTGATATACGTGTCACCTCTACAGGAAAGAAATGAAAGTCAGCTTTTTTTATATTGAAAATTTTCCGTGATTGTTATTGAAAAAGCCTGATGTCACATGATTTATTCAGTTGTTTGTACTTGCAGGTTGGTCTTTAGGCTGACTAGAACAAATGTTTTTCTCTACACCGAGAGAGGTTGCCACAGTGGGTATTGATAGATGCATCGATTCTTTAAAAAGTAGGATTTACTGTGGAAAAACATAAGGAAACAAAAGCAAACTTTACTAATTGGTAATTATAATCTAGGAAGTCGATCTTATTGTAAGGCCAGTTGTTTCATTATGTAAATTCAAGCTAACAAAACTCTGAGAAAGTTACACAATGTGGGGACCGACTGTTTGAGAATAAATTAGTGTAATTAAATTCATTTCTTGATGTGTAACTTATAATCTGTTTTAAAGTATACAGGTCAGCAGATATTTTGTTTCACAATTCGTTTACTAAGTTTACATTTACATCATAGTCACCGTTTACTAAGCACACATTTACATGCTAGTTACTGTTTACATATAGTCATCAATAGTAGTTTCTATATATTTAAATAAGAGGGCTACCAAATAATTATGTAAGCTAAATTAAGTTCGTGATTGGGAAGACTGTGTGTTGCTTATCTTTGAAAACTAATTTTTCTTGTACGAATATTATTTTTACATAAACCTTAATATCCTGTAAACAAAAAATCCGATGGTAAAATGATCAGGTGTATACCGTAAAGTATAACTTTTGTGAATGATTAATTGAATGCTTTTATATTTAATTAAATAATGAGAGTTAAAAGATGTATAGAAAGAACAGTACATTTTTTTTTAATTAGTCGATTGCACTAAGTACACGAACACTCGCACACGTATGGAATAATTACAAATAATTTAGGGCAAATCACTGAGATAGAACATTTTAGGAGAAACTAAACACAACTCAAATGAATCAAGGAAGCAGCCATTTATTGTATTTATTCAAATAAAATTACACTGTACCCATCATTTATAAAGTAGTGCAGCATTGTTCACGAGGCAGAGAAAATTTTTTTATTAAAGTAATGTAAACAACACAAAGTGGCTTGTGGAAATGTAATGTGACCAGCTATCAGTTAAGTCTTTAGTTACATAGAGCATACATGCGAAGGTGAACGTCCAAGGATGACGCATTTTCCCTTGTAATCCTACACCAAGAAGACATAGTTCTGTGTAATTCGGAAAACACTCTGTTAAAAATACTTTGTATCCGCTAAAACTATCCCCAGTTTAATTGTATCCCGGCTGTTTTTATATCCGTTTTGTCCATCCGGCGGAGACATCCGGTTTCATTACGCGCACACCTTGTACGCAACACAAACTGTGCCGGAAAAAAATTGTCATCTACGTCTTAAAATCCCCAGTTTTTATCTGTGCAGGATTGTCATGGGTGTGTTGTTTGTTTGTTGTTTACAACTCCCCTACACAAACTGTGTCAACTGCGTTCGTCTTGCCTCACATCCGTGTAGCGTGTATAAATGTGGCCGTTAGGTTAACCACGGTCAAACCTGTCTAGGTACGATACTTCACCTGAACGTTTACCTGTAGTGCTAGACAATCACGTCATAATGAAATCTATTTTTATAGCCGTTTTTCTGCTGGCGGCGATTGTCTTGTGTAAAGGTAATTTTTTTTTCTTTGTTTTCTCTATGACTGAAGCTTGACTCGATAATTATTCAATGTTGTTCAAAGTTAACTATATGAACAAAAGCGTGTGAGTGTGAATTGGTGTGTATACATTTAAGTAGATCTATATATATATATATATATATATATATATATATATATATATATATAGATATATATATATATATATAGATATATATATATATATATATATATATATATATATATATATATATATATATATATATATATATATATATATATAATGCTTCTATTTATTTATTTTTAATGTTTTATATATATATATATATATATATATATATATATATATATATATATATATATATATATATATATATATATATATTTATTTATTTATTTATTTATTTATTTATATATATATATAACTTTATTTATGTGTATAACAGAAAAAATAGGACATCGATGTGTATATACATTTATGTAACATGTAGACCTACATGTAAAGCTACATGTTTACTCATAAATATAATATATTTGTAATAATGTTTTCTAGCAGGTTCGCCAGATTTCCAGAGATATTGCTCTAGCTGTAGACCAGAAGACGACTTCTGTAACCTGATGTGTAAGGGGAAACAACCTAAAGAGCCGGCAGCAACCATCGTTAAACGCCAGACAAAGTGCTCACAGTGCCATAAGCTGGACACCTATTGCAGGAACGCATGTGAGTAACACAGATCAATATAATCTCATAAGTTGATATACGTAAATACATAATATACATACAGGAGAGACAACTGTTAAATCAAATATAGCCGATAGTATTACAAACTCTACTTTCTATTTCGCGACTTCCGTAACCCAAGTTGATACCAGAGAGGGGTCATCAAATATCGGCAACCCACAATCTAGTCATTTAAAGCTATGGTGCGCGCCCTGGATAAGATTGCATTTCTCTGAGCGCGTCCACAGATTGATGAAGCCATAGAATAAAAATATAATAAAATTGATAGGGAACAACAAAATTGTGAAAACCTCTAGCTCGATCACAGAGTTGTGGTCTAGCTGTGGTCAAGGTGGTCTAGCTGTGGTCCTGTTGGTTTAACTGTGGTCATGGCTGTCTCGCTGTTGTCTTGGTGGTCTCGTGTGGTCCTGCGGTCCATGAAGCGGACCACAAACTAAACAAGAAGGCCAGTGTCCTCTGTCCAGCCTTGGCTTATGCGCCCCCGGCCGAATGATTGTAGACTATAAATAGAAACGCTATTCCTGGACTTATGGGAGGAAATATAGAAATCGTGTTTGCAATATCCCCGCAGAAGTTGAGTGATTAGCTCGTGTTGGCGGTTGTTTATTTTATCTCGAAACGAAACAAATTTGATTAATTTTTCAAATTGATGTTTGTTTGTTTTTCCAATAGATTTATATCTTAGAGGGGGAAAAAAATTTATTTTTAAACAAAATTCAAACTTTCAATGTGGAGTAATTTCGCGTTGCTTTAAGCCTGTCTAGAAAATATTTGTCGTGTTGTTCAAAGCCTGTCTAGAAAATATTTATCGTGTTCTTTAAAGCCTGTCTAGAAAATATTTATCGTGTTGTTCAAAGCCTGTCTAGAAAATATTTGTCGTGTTGCTTAAGTCTGACTACACTATATAATGTTTGACTCGCTATTCTGCAGGTGTATTCCATATGAACGGCTGTCTAAAATATTTGTCGTGTTGCTTAAGCCTGACTAGAAAATATTTGTCGTGTTGCCTGACTACATTGAACAATATTTAACTCGCTATTCTGCAGGTGTATTCCATATGAACGGCTGTCTAAAATATTTGTCGTGTTGCTTAAGCCAGACTACACTATATAATGTTTGACCCGTTATTCTACAGGTGTGTTCCATATGAACGGCTGTCTACAAATCTGTCAACAGTGGCGATCCTGGGACATGAACTGCCCCGTCAAGTGCAGACGTGAATTCTCTACCAGCAGATAAAACATTTTTGTATGGGTAGACGCGGCTTTGTCCAGAGCTATCAAGATGTCAACATATTAGTATGGGACTCTGACATAGACTATCAGTTTATTAGAAAATGAGAAACTCTAGAAATTGATGTGTTAGAATTTTACTGACTTATAATTCATCTATTAGAATGTGACTAACTCAAGAAATTAATCAATTAGAATTTGACTGAATCAAGAAATCAATATATTAGAATTTAACTGACTCGAGAAATCAATATATTAGAATTTAACTGACTCGAGAAATCAATCTTTTAAAATGTTAAAATAAATGGAGTTATCATATATAAACATTTTGACCTACACTTTTAAATACTATGGACACTATTATAACTAATACTTTTATTTCTTTTGAAACATAGTTTTAAAATGAAAATTGTTTTATTTATATGTTTAAAACGTATTTGTTCATAAATTTTATATTTTATTGCCGTACGCACTTTTAAATTATTTGTTTTAAGATTAATTATTTTTTAAAGAAATGTATATGTTTATTTGTTTATCACATGCAATTTATTCATGACGATTATAAATAAATGTCTTTCAAACTTTACTTTGAGCTTTCATTATCTAAATATCTTAATTTTCAATATTATTTCATCAGTGAAAATCAGCATAACTATCTAATAACCGCATCACCCGTTATTAAAGCTAAAAATAGAACGACTTTAGCGTAATTCTGTCTCCTAAAGTATCAGCTAAAATTGTAAATGATATATGATTTTCCGAAGGCATAGTTCTAATTTTAGAAAGAAGACAAAATCATAAAATCACAATGCTGCACAAAGACTGCAATAACGCATGTTAGCGTGGTCGGGTCGGTAAAGCTCATGGGTTGCTAAACCGAAAAGTCCCGAGTTCGAACCCCTGGCAGATGAGGCTCAAACAAAGGATAAGGAAATAAACCCAAAAATAAAAGCAGGCTGAAATCGGAGTCAACGGGCTATATGGCTAGAGGTTGATACATAATAATGTGTTGTTAACTTTCCACAGATAAAACACCTGGTTTGAGATACCGACAGTATCAATAACTAACAATAACTAGAAAGAGTCTTTCGTCCGTTTCAATTTTAAAATAGGTTTTGTATTTACAGGAGAGCATTACTAAAAAATAAATAATAAAACACTCTGACTTCAGTCTATCTGTAACACACTGACTTCAGTCTATCTGTGACACACTGACTCCAGTCTATCTGTAACACAGGGCGTGGGAAGTCAACAGATGGTTCTATTCGGTGATTAATTCTACGGTCATTAGCTATATATAATCTCGATCAAGACTGGAATAGTTTCTGTAGCTTGGCACAGTTTTACACCATCGTGTTAGCTTTGAATATTTCTAAGTTTGAGATTTATAGTTGAGATCTACAGGAGATAATCATGATGAAAATCTTAATCGCAGCACTGGCTTTTGTGTGTCTTCTAAACACAGGTATATCTTGAATATGTGTATCTTCTAAATACAGGTATATCTGGCAAGTGTATAATCTTCTAAACACAGGTAAACTATATCTGGCGTGTTTGTTTCCTCTAAACACAGGTATATCTGTCACGTTTGAATGTCCTAAAGACAGGTAGGCCTAACAGCATTACCTATTAATAACAATTGAATATTCTATGGTCATCCAAAAGAAAGCTTCCCTGAAAATTTCAGCGCGCTAGCTAACTGGGAAGTGCCAGAAATTTCGATCGCAAGATTTGATTGGAAAAACAAACAAACAAACAAACAAACAGAGAAAACAAGTTAAAGAAAACGTGGGAAAAAACGAACTGCTGTATAATATTCTCCCCAATTGGGATTCTCTGACAATAGCTAAGCATTCACTTTTTTTTAAAAATCAACTATTGGCAAAACAAGTCTGTAACAAAACCACATGTTTTCCACACATTTCACACCACAGATCCACAGGCGTCACAAATAAACATCAACGCTAAAGTTCATTTGTTCAATAAAAATGGAAACCCTTGAAAGCTTTTTACGAAGTAATTAAAGTGTGTAAATGTGTACTCCAATAATGAAAGCTATTAAACTACGTCAATGAAGAATGTATTTAAGATCAACGCTTAGCCGTAATTAATTACATTTCTTTATTTGTTTTCTTAAAGAGAATTTTTTTATTTCAGTATACACTTTTACATAACACCTTTGTTGTGACGTCATATTTTTGAAAAACGTCTCTCAGTGACAAGTTGTATACAACAGCTATGATGTGACGTCATATTTCCTTTCTATTTTTAGCCTCCAGCTTTATGCCCTGCAGCTTGTGCGGTCAAGGTGATGAAAATTGTTTTGCCACATGTGTCTGGAACTTTCCAGGCTTCGAGATTTTGTTAAAGAGAGGTCAGTTTGTTTATTGTAAATAGAGAGGTCAGTTTGATCATTGTAAATAGATCAGATAAAGGGATTTAATTGTGAAACTTCAGTTTGTTAGTTATAAATATATCAAATTAAAGGATTTAGTTGCGAGAGTTCAGTTTCGTAGTTATAAATAGATCAAATTAGGGGATTTAGTTACGAGAGTTCAGTTTTTTTAGTTATAAATAGATCAAATTAAAGGATTTAGTTGCGAGAGTTCAGTTTTGTAGTTATAAATAGATCAAATTAAGGGATTTAGTTTTTTAGTTATAAATAGATCTAACTAAAGGATTTAGTTGCGGGAGTTCAGTTTTTTAGTTGTAAATAGACCCAGTGGTGGACTGGCCCGCCGGTCTACCAAGGAAACATCTCGGTGGGCCCCTGGAAATATCTCTATGGCCTTCCAGGGATTGTGCTGTAATTGTCCTTTTAGTTTTAATTGTTTAAAAAAATTAATTCTTGGTATTTCCCCATTTCACTATTTTCTATTCCTTGACACCAACGTATACATTTAAGCTTTGATCGATAAAAATAAAAATAAAAAAACCATTTCAATCTGGGGATGGGATCATGAGGGCTCGTTTTAAAATTTCCAGCGCTTCTGGTACACGGTCATTCCGGCCCAGAATAGACCGACAGACATGGATGGGGTGGGGGAGAGGTTTTAATGGATGTGATGTTTAGAAGAAAAGATGACGAGTGGAGTTAAGAAAATGTCATTTGGTTTCTTGAAAAAAAAATATTTGAAAAAAAATATTGTTTTCTTTGTTTGACAAAATAAAGTTATGTTTCAAGATTTGACAAACACGTGTAATGGTTCATTTACTCACGTCTAATTTACTCACCCTTCCAGCCCTGGAGCACGTGTTCCTGAAGAAAGACATGTGTGCCTGCACCTTCTTTGACCCCAAGTGCCTGGAGACCTGCACCGCCTGATGACGTCAGCACATGCAGGGAATTCTGGGAGTAACACGATAAAATAATTTTACAATAAAATAAATGTGTGTCTTGAATTCTTCAACTGTTGTCTGACGATGATGTTTTGTATTGAAACGCAATCTCCCTTAACATCTTAGTCGCTTACTCCTGTTTCTTGTTGGTTTTGAATGAACAAAACAATTAAATATCAGACCGTTATTAATCTGTGTCGGTGAAAAATAATGATAACGAGATTGTATGAAGAAATGTTTTTGGTAACATTACTCTTGCTCAATGTATTACTTTATATGACACTAAAATGTTTCATTGTATATATATATATATATATATATATATATATATATATATATATATATATATATATATATATATATATATATATATATATATACATATATACATATACATACACATATAAATATATATATATATATATGTGTGTACAAGTATATATATATTTACATGTATATATTTATATATATATATATATATATATATATATATATATATATATAGATATATAGATATATTATATATATATATATATATATATATATATATATATATATATATATATATATGTATAAGTGTGCATCTGTTAAAATTCCACTTGATGTGTCACTACGTCTGAAAAGCTAAGGCTGGTGGCGGTGTTCTAGACTCGTCAGAAAAGAATGGCTTGACTTGATCTGAGGAAGACAGAATTATGAAATACCAGCTCTTAAAGACACCGGCTTGGGACGATCTCTCTATTAAAATGTTTTTAGTTTAATTAATGGGAGAGAATCAACCGGAAACAACAAACCGGATTGTTCCCCCTGGGTTATTCTAACACTCGTGTGCTGCGATCAATAGACCGGTCCATAGACCCCCAACTCCATGGTCTGTTGGCTAATCAAGTGGTGAACGATTAAATGGGGCTGAGACTGATGGTCCTTACTGAATCATTAGCTCCAAGTCTTGGCTGTATCAATGTGCCTTTTTAAACAGCCAATCGATATTTATAGACTGTTACAGGCTGAATTCGTGCGTTGTATCAAAGGCTAATCAGTTTTGTTCACACTATGAGGCCTTCAGTTTTATAATGTCTTTGTAGCCAGCATGTAACAGGCGAATGTAAGTAACATTTTAGTTTGGGATTTTAAACGTAACAGGCGAATGTAAGTAACATTTTAGTTTGTGATTTTAAACGTAACAGGCGAATGTAAGTAACATTTAAGTTTGGGATTTTAAACGTAACAGGCAAATGTAAATAACATTTTAGATTTGGATATTTTATCGGACTATATAAGAAATACCTTTTATGTTATGGTTGTTTAATTACCGAAACTGTGAACTATGAACTAACTATGAACATAATTAACCTAAAACTAAACCTACAAAATATAACGTAACTATCTTATAACTAAATCTTCTACTAATAATATGACTATCCTATAACTATACCTACAAACTAATAACGTAATATGCTATAACTATAACTACAAACTAATAACATAATTATGCTATAACTAGATCTACAAACTAATAACATAATTATCCTATAACCAAACCTACCAACTATGAACAAAATAAAATCTAGAAAAAGTTAACTGGATCTCACGGATAAGTAGGAAAAATTCAAATCCTTTACGTAAGAATTAGTTCTAAGTGAAATACAATCTAGTAAAAATACATTAACGCGAAACCTGTAGTACAAACGCTCATATAATTAGTCGTTACAATATTGCTAACAAATACAAGTGTAAAATGTAACCCTTTTCCTATCTAACAGTCTTACATAGAAGTGATCTGCTTATCTTTCTGGATTCATAGATTATCTGCCTGGATTAACTGGCGGATTAACTTATATTTTGGTGTTAAAATAACCCTGATAGCTTGTATTTTGTATATGCAAGTACAGTTAGACTTGTGCCTCGCAGACTTTGACACTATGTACAGTTAGATTTGTGCCTCATAGACCTTAACTCATGTAGAGTTAGATTTGTGCCTCATAGACCTTAACTCATGTAAAGTTAGACTTGTGCCTCGTAGACTTTGACACCATGTAAAGTTAGATTTGTGCCTCTCAAACTTTGACAGCATGTAAAGTTAGACTTGTGCCTCATAGACCTTAACTCATGTAAAGTTAGATTTGTGCCTCGTAGACTTTACTTTCTGACTTGACAAAATGAACAAGTGATCTACAATAGATAAATTACACACAGCTGATCTAGATAAGATAAGACGTTGCTATTGATTGAAATGACGTCACACTATTGTTACGTGATCTCCAAAAGGTCATTTATAAAACATAATGAGCCTGAGGTAATAGACCAGACACTACTGCCGTTTTGGCGAGGTTAAATCTATAAGTATTCGTCCTTGCCTTTTATTCAATAAACCCTTGAAGTTTAACATAAAGTATAATATAAATTTTTACATACAAGTATAATCTCAATATTTTAAGATTCTCATACATCCTAATATATAAAGGAAATACAAAGAGTGATTAGTTTCTGTTGAATCGATATTTTTTCTTCAATACAGATTTTATTAGGTAAGACTTATTTTAGAACTAAAAAAAAAAGCATTAAAATAACGTATATTTAACAACATTTTTAAAGTACTAAATGGGCTGCAACCTAAATACCATTTGATGGTCTAAAGACTCGATCATCTGGTAAATACCACTTGATGATGTAAAGACTGGATCATCATCTGGTAAAAACCACTAAAGAAACAAACGAATCGATTGACTTTAAATTTTAAAATGTCAGAAGCTAGAGGTCTGAATTTTTTGATTCTCCTCTTCTGGCAAACTGGGAGAATAATGGTTTTATAAAAGCCATTATGGATTTTTGTCATTTAACTTCCTATAACCACTTTATCAAATCAACATTTGCTAGCGTAAACAAATATTCAGAAGATTAAATTAAGATTAAAAATGACCTTATCTCATTTCTCCACCATGTAGATGACCTTATCTCATCTCTCCACTATACAGATGACCTTATCTCATCTCTCCACTATACAGATGACCTTATCTCTCACCAAAGAAAGACCACAGACAAGCAGCTACGACCACCCCAGTTTACGACCACTAGCGACGCCAGTTGACCTCTACAGATGTCCCGTGTCCACCCCAATCAACTACCAGTGGTGCCGCGACCACACCCATCTCAGCAGACGTCACTTGTCAAGCCAGGTCAGGTTTTAGTAATTTAGTGGTGGCATCAGTCTCAGACGTGTTGACGTCTTTTTGCAAACACCAACTGTTGACGTCATTTTTACATCTTCGTCGTCGTCGTCCGTCCCCCCCCCCCCCCCGCCCTGCCACTGATTTTTTTTAAACAGGTCATACATTAACCGAGAAATATGTCATTTATGAAGGTCACCTCTCATATGAAATTAAAAATGAAGTCATTAACTTTCGTGAGTTTAAATGTAAAACTAGAAATTAGCTACCTGTGTTTATATAATTTTACCTATCTTTGACAGTAGGAATATTCAAAGTGAATCTAAATTCTAAGGGGTTCTCTTTTCATAACCTTTAACCAACACTTCTGGCCAGAATAGTTGCCTAGATACGATGCTGATACAGCCAGATGCACTCAACTAATGTTATAAAATCGTTGCCTACATACGGTCCTGATACAGCCATATGTACTCAACTAACGTTGTTAATGTTTTTAAAATCGTTGCCTACATACGGTCCTGATACAGCCAGTACTAATGTTTTTAAAATAGTTGCCTACATACGGTCCCGATACAGCCAGATGTACTCAACTAACCTTGTTCATGTTTTTACCCACCCAGCATTTGCCGGCTGTGAATGACAGTTGGGGCGTGTCAGCTCGCTTCCCACGTGACGTGCCGGTCTACTGCCAGACAGCGCCTGCAACTGTCCGAAGGCTGGACTACTATCGTATGGAGAAGAACAGCAGCAGGTAGAGTGGACACTCACATATTTTATCAGTAGTATATGTGAAAAGCGTATGTATTTGACCAGTGGCTTAGGTAGGGGAGGGCGGGTGGGGTGGCCGCACGGGGCGCCGACCCTAAGTGGGCGCCAAAAGAAGTAGAACAATTTAATTTAAAAGCTCATTTTAAGCTGAAGTATTAAATTATATACAGTCAAAGTTACGAGAATAAACGACTTCAAGGCTTTCACATAGATTTAACTATTTTCTGTATCAATTTTGTGGCACCGAAATAGAAAATCTAATAGAAAAGTCACTGGTAAGAAGCTCCACAAACCTTTCCAATTTATTTATTTGGGGGGGGGGGGGGGGCTTTTTTAAGGACTTTAGAATGGGCATTTCTATGTTAAATTTGCAATTGAAAAAAGTTTATTGTAAATTTTTTTAGTCAGACTGACCAGCACATGAATGGACATTGGCTACGAGCGCTCTGCTCCCAGCCGGTGCCTGAAATCATCAACAAATACAGATCCAAGTCCGACAACAGACGGGTGAAAACACCGTGGTCACAAACTTACACAACACCAGGCGAGATCTCACTACGTCACGGCTGGGACAGCAATGCGGGGAGAGACCGTATCAGAACTTCAACAACCGGTGTCGAGTCACACTGTCCCACGGATAAATTACTACAGGCTAATCAAATTAGCATTGATCATAAACAGCAGCAGGTTCAAAGAGGGAAGCCTGTAACAAAATGGCGAGAGGAAGATATTTCTAGCGGTCGCAAATCACCGGTACAACTTTCGGTAGATATAACACCACTATCTATACGAGCTGATGGAACGTCGGATAATTTTTTACGCAAAAAAACAACTTTCCCTGAAGTAAACAGGAAAAGTCCAATGTATGCGGATTTTAAAACGCGGATGGCACAGAGGTACCCATTTTTAAGGAACAAGCAAAAGAAAAGCTACACCACAGGCCCTTGCCCATCACCCGAGCCGCTGGAGTAGACCAGAGTTGTGGAACCTGTCACTTCAGTACGGCAGAGTTGTCGAACCTGTTACAGGAGTAGACCAGAGTTGTGAAACCTGTCACTGCAGTACGACAGAGTTGTCGAACCTGAAACTGGAGTAGAGCAGAGTTATCGAACCTAGTTGTGAATTGTCTTTCAACTGAAAGTCCTAATACTGGATTAGCACTAACATAACAATTTAACAATATATATATCTAGAGTTATGTTTGTTCTTGCTAGATATATTTATTTACAAGTAAAGTTTTCTGTGTCGGTGTGTTTGAATGATCTCAACACAGAACTTTGGAGAGCGTTCGCCTGTGACACATCCTCTAGTAACTGTGCTGGGAGATTATCATCATAAACACACAGATGTAAAATATTAATACTATTTTACACAAAATTATATCTACATTTTTGTTTTTTTCATCATGGTAAAACCTGTTTTTTAAATTAATTGCCTATATTATTTTTACATATGTGGAAATAAGCATAAGAAAATTACGTTTATGTATTTTCAAACTATTTATAAGATTGTTTGACAAATGTGAATATTTAAAACTAAGGGAGAGCAACAGCGGATTAGGAACCCATTCGTTTTAAAATTAGTTAACTCCCTTTGCCTGTGTAAAATAACGGTCTAAAACAGTCATAATTTTTTAGAATAAAGTAAAGAATATCAAAGCTGACCTTAGGGAGCCATAAATTATATTTGTTGACTCAGACAGAGATAAATAAGAAACATGAAAAACTACATACTACATCCCCTTGGTGGTATGATTAAAGTGATATTGTTATCGCCCTTGCTGGTGCCAAAGACCATATCAGCAGAATGTTCACGTCGAAATTCATGTCCTGAGAGTACATTTGTATAGATCAAGCTCTAATCGTGTGGGGAGGTTCTGTAATAATTCTAAATTTGTAGCAGAATAGTTACATTTAGAAACAACATAAATTTTGGGAAAAACTTAAGAGAGGCAAAAAGAATTTGCGATAAGCTGGAGCTTGATTTGTAAAAGAAAAATAATAAATAGAAACTTGTAAATGTCTAAATTTGTTTATACATAGAAACTTGTAAATGTCTAAATTTGTTTATAAATAGAAACTTGTAAATGTCTAAATTTGTGTATAAATAGAAACTTGTAAATGTCTAAATTTGTGTATAAATAGAAACTTGTAAATGTCTAAATTTGTTTATAAATAGAAACTTGTCAAACGTAAGAGCGTGATTTAAAATTGTGTTTAGACCGCGGCACTTGCTGTGTAGAGATGGGTCTATGATGGTGTGTTCACTATGGTCGGTGTTGTGACATTAGGTCTGCTGTTGGTCTCTAGGACCAGTGATTTTTTTCTGGCATCTCTACCAGAAAAAGGAGGACGTGCCCCCCGCTTCACCCTCCGGACTAAAATAGATAATTTATATAGAAAATATAAACACTTACCATTGTCTCCACCCCTGCCTTCCCGGAATTTTAAGAGCGCTCCTACCCCGGAATAGTTTAGACCTCCCCCTCGCCCACATGACAAAATAATCTTTTAAAGAAACCCTATCTACTTCTCATTTATATTTTTTCTATCACTTTCATATGTTAGATACTGCACATGTTTTCCAACAAGCTATGTCCTTTGTTCAGTATTCAGATACAACAGTTTCAACTGCTGGTATAGGGCTGGAGGTAACCACCACATTATGTCAGGCTAGAATACAGTTTCGATACCTTGTCCTCATTTATTTGACAAGAATACACTTTCACTACATGAGATCATTGTGATTATTTATTTGGTTATAATACACTTTCAATTCCTTGTAATCATTTATTTGGCTAGAATACACTTTCACTACCTTGTGATAATTTATTTAGCTAGAATACACTTTCACTACCCTGTGATCATTTAGTTTTCATATCAAAACAACAAATCAAGATAATCGTGTTCTTCTTATCTGTAAGTTCGAATGTCGATCTGTGAAGGGTTTATTTAGCAATCACGTGACGTAGGTCGATATTTGATGAATGATATCTTTGATGACCCGTCAAATCCAACACGGTTTCCGCCAGCCGAGACTACTATTCCGCACCTGATGTTTACATTCCGATACAACACAAACAAATACTAGAGATAATATACAGAGCAATAAATGTATGCGGTACTCGAAAGATATCTCGGGGACTTTTTCTGTCAACACCGGACAACTAAGTTGAATATTATGAGTTGTTTGCCTCTATCAACAAGTCAATCGTCAATTTGCTGTTGGTGCGTAAAGGGAGACTACGCATGGTTTGTTTACATTACGAAAGATCGATTACCTTTCAGCTTGTTATAATTCAATGGCGACAATCAAATGGGCTGGTTTTTCCAAATGTCATATTTCACTTGATAAATCTGGTCTGAAAGTCTACGTCATTCAGTCTTAAAATGTGTTCGTTTTAAACCACTTTTTTATGTTTAATAAAACTACTTCCGTTTCCAATCAGTGGTTCTTAATCTTTTATGAAGCACCGAACCCAACAGTTTAGTATGCGAATTTACCGAACCCTTCTTAATAGTTTTATCGTCCGCACAAAATCTGGTTGTGAATCATATGAGTTTGTTGTGTGCCTTTTACTTGACCTCTGCCGAACCCCTAAGACTGACTCACCGAACCCTTGGGGCTCGATCGAACTCAGATTAAGTACCACTGCTTTAGATGTTTTACATATTTTATTCCCAAAATATAAAAAGAAATATAAATAAAACCTGAGTGAGCTCCCCTTAGTTTCCTCGAATAAGAATAGAACCACTTCCGGTCAATGGTAATCGCTCAAAAGTTGAATCGTATCTAATAATTAGAATTGCAATTACGTTCACTTTACTAAAACAGTTATAGTTTGCACACATAGACAGACAGACACACATACACGCATACAAGATTGTGGGAGGGAAGGGAATAGAACTTAGTGGCGTTAGAATTTGTGGGGCTTAATTGTATGACTTAAACTATACCTGTAGGGACGATACAACATGACGTCACTTGTAGATGACAACCCCCCCCCCCCTCATCCTCATTCCTAATTTAAATAACGAACATTTTGGACAAATTCTTCAGATATTGAACTGTTTCACAAATGTAATGCACAAAACGACAACTTTCTTCGAATGTGTTTTATTTTACATGGCAGAGAATGTGTTTAAAATATGAAACAAATATTTGTGTCGAATATATAAACATTTACAGCTTGGGGAAATATTTTATGATTGAAAGTGAAATATCAATATCAGAAACATACTCATGGTAAAAACATGTATTAGTACTACCTAATATTGACAAGGGACAATATTTATCAACACAAATAACACTTTTAATGCATATCAAAAAGATAAATGTACATTACAAAAATATTTTTATCTACACCAACGGTTATATTAACACACGTTGTAACACGGGTATTTACTAGTTGATATTTGTTGAACTGCTTTTACTGTGTAAATGTATACGGTAAGATTTTAATCTTCGCTGTATTGATTATTGGAAATCAATCATGCAACAGTTGTAAACTCGATACGGTACATTGCTGAAGCAACAGGCTAAAATAGCCGTTGTGAAATATTTGGGAATAATTGATTTAAAACTTACCACACTATTTTATAATAACTTTCTCACACTTTTAGCAAAGCCCTGCTGTTGAATGATTATGGAGCTTTTAATTGACTTCCTACTTCTAGAAGTTTGACTCCAGACTGTTTAAGAGGGGGGGGGGTACCCTTAGGAGTGACGTCACACTTTTGCGAAAGCTTAACGTGATTTTAGGGAGAGTGGTCGGATATTTTAAGACGATTGATGATGGGGCTAGAGGAAGGGGAGGGGGGGATTAAGTCGTTTTAGAAGTGTGACGTCATATATATATATATACGACATTTAATGAGTTGTTATAGATTGCTCCAATGTTATATGATTTAGAGCCGTCTTTACGTAAGTCTCTAATCAAAGTGGATTGGCCTTGGGTTTTAATGGAAATGAGCGGATTGAAAATATAACACAGCATGCATTTTTATATTTCTTATATATCCAATCATTTCTTAATATCGCTAAACTGAAAGCGGCTTTAATAATGAGTAACGGAATTTGACGTATTGTTTAAATTATTTGGCCATTAGCAAAACAACAACTCAATAGTTCGAAGCACTACGTGACTGCGACTTAGTGAAACATGTAACTATAAAAGGCAGTATGGGTGAATATCGACCAGAATGGTGTTTGTAGTTAATCAACAGCCCTTACTTAACACAATGACGGCTATTTTCTTTCTCTAGGTTGGCCGTAAGTTTATAAAGTAGCTGTTGGCCGAAAACTACAAAACAGCCGTCAGTCCCAAGTTACAAAACAGCCATCAGTCCCAAGTTACAAAACAGCCATCAGTCCCAAGTTACAAAACAGCCGTCAGTCCCAAGTTACAAAACAGCCATCAGTCCCAAGTTACAAAACAGCCATCAGTCCCAAGTTACAAAACAGCCCCAAGTTACAAAACAGTGGTTAACCCTTTAAAGACCAAGGCAGTATCTCTCCTCTGCAGGCTGTTTTTGACCGTCTGCCGCTGGTTGAACCTCTCGATGTCCGTGATGAACTCGTTGACCTTGCCCTGCAGACAGCTGGACTCGACCCGGAGCTTCTCCAGCCTTGACCTCCGCCTCCGCTCCCCCAGCACCTCCATGGTGCGCCTCCTGTTGTCGAAGGTGAGCAGCGTGTCGTCCTCCTGCGGCGAGACGCGGCTTAAAAGTTCAAGTTCACGGCGCGACCTTGACCTGTACACCGCTGTTTGAGCGCGTGGTGGGAGAAGGTCGTCCGGTTTCGAGTTCATGAAATGACCGGAAGTTGCCGGCCTGACGCCGATTTGTGACGAAGCTGTTGGTTTAAGATACCCCTTAGAGCTCTTCACCCGTTCGGGCGTAGGTTCCGGCAATGCCGGCTTTGTTTCGTCGTCTGCTTCTGCCACAACAGAGGGCGCCGTCTCCACCTCTATCACCGGAGGGTGGAAAAACTTTTTCACCGGAAGTGACTCAAACCCGACCTCTGACCTCGCCCTTCGGACGTTGAACAAATTTTTGGAGCTGAATTTTTCTCGCTCGAGGTCCAGCTTGGTCTGGGAGCGGCTCGTTTTGGCCAGCTCCGCGAAGTCGATGCCGTAGCGCGTGGCGCGGGTGTTGGTCAACATGTCCACCGACTCCCCGGGGTTCCGGTTCCTGACCGCCTCCTGCAGCTTGGTGATGACCTCCACCTGTTTCCGGATCTCCTCCAACTGCTCCCCCGCCTCCGCCATGATGCGGCGCTCGTCCTGGGGAGGGGGGGGGGGGGTAAGGAAAAAAAACGTTAGCTACACTGTAGTAGAAGCCTGAAGCTAAGCATTTCACGTTAAATTACTAGATACGATATAATCTAAGGCCGACATGGCTTCAGGCCGATGTGAGCTGAGGCCGAAATAACTTAAGGTTACTGTGATCTAAGACCAATGTGACCCAAGATGGAAAAGACCTAGGCCGGTATGACCTTAAGTCGATATTTACACAAGGTCAGCATGACCAAAAGCAACTAGCTAAAAGTGACTTTACGGCGAAAAATTGACTGTAAAAAGAATTTCGGTCTGTTCCGTCATGTTAACATCTGAACTCCTACAAACTAGTGTGGCAGCCCAGCTACACAATTGTGATGTTGCCATTTTAATGTTACCGATATCTTCTAGCACCTCCCTCTCTAAATACTGATGTTCCCCTTTAGATGTCCCCCCCCCCTATAAAGTGCTGTTACCCTCTTGATGTTCCCGATATGTTCCAACCCCCCACCCCCCTATAAAGTGCTGTTACCCTCTTGATGTTCCCGATATGTTCCACCCCAACCCCCCCCCCCTAAATAATGCTGTTACCCTCTTGATGTTCCCGATATGTTCCACCCCCCTCTCCCCTAAATAATGCTGTTACCCTCTTGATGTTCCCGATATGTTCCACCCCTTCCCCTCTATAAAGTGCTGTTACCCTCCTGATGTTCCCGATATGTTCCACCCCCCCTATAAAGTGTTGTTACCCTCTTGATGTTCCCGATGTTCCACCCCCCCTATAAAATGTTGTTACCCTCTTGATGTTCCCGATATGCTCCATCAGACCCTCCTCCAGCACCACGTTCTCCTTGTAGATGTTGCTGTGGTCCATCTTCAGCAATGACTTCTGTGAGTGCTCGGGCGCCATCTTGCCTCGAGACCTGTAGGAAAGGAAAGTTTTTGTAGCTGATGCGCATGGTACTGGAGAGGGTGGGTGTTAGGGGTGGGCTTGGTGTAAGGGGTGGGCTTGGTGTAAGGGGTGGGCTTGGTGTAAGGGGTGGGCTTGGTGTAAGGGGTGGGCTTGGTGTAAGGGGTGGGCTTGGTGTAAGGGGTGGGCTTGGTGTAAGGGGTGAGCTTGGTGTAAGGTGCGGGCTTGATGTCATTGTGTAAATATTATGAGGAGTTAGGACGGGTAGGAACGGAAAGTTTTAGTAGCTAATGAGTATACGATAGGGGTCGGCAGATGTAAGGGGGGGGGGTGGCTTGGTGTAAGTGGTGGGCTTGGTGTAAGGGGTGGGCTTGGTGTAAGGGCTGGACTTAGTGTAAGGGCTGGGCTTGGTGTAAGGGGTGGGCTTGGTGTAAGGGGTGGGCTTGGTGTCATTGTGTAATTATATGAAGAGTTAGGACGGATTGCTAGGCACTAAGAAAAGCTGGGCTTACTATAAATTTGGTAAAATGGGAGAGAGCCAAAGTACGTATATTATCGAATTCTAATCTCATCGCCTTCAACCTCAAAAAAAAATATTGATTTTTTTTTTAAAGGCATTGATTTTGGACATTTTATTTGATGATTAAATTAAAATCTAGCTTGATTATACACCAGTCTCCTTTCAATGTAACATTTTATAATTGGATCGATCGTATGCGTTAATCAATGATCGATAATGCATATTAACTTGACATATTAAAAGCCAGCCTAAAAAAACTCCAAGATGGATCACTCATCAATCACTAGTTTTTAAATATAAAAGGGGGGTAATGTCGTGCAACGTTAATTAACTCCCCGCAGCACAAAAATGTTATAGTTACTATTGAAACTGTTTCTATAGCCCAGAATTAACATTGAAGTGTTGAATTTTAAATCACATCGCTGGCTAACTTATGTTTCTTTATTAACTTTCACGTCAATTTATGTGATTTAGAATTGGCTTCGTATTCTCATAATTGTGTTATTAATTTAAAAGTATTAATATTTGAACATGATTTCGCTGTTAATTATTTCATAGACTGCACGTCACTATATTCTCATTACCCTATCTTTAATTAAACTAAGTGTTTTTCGTTTCTTTCTGGTCACTCAAATACACCCGCCATTTATTTTTGTAGAGTTAATATAGAGGGTATAGATTTACACCAATAAAATATTTCCCTGTGATAGTGGACATTGATTTATGTATTGCGTCATTTTGATACGGTTAATTGCGTCACTATAATTCGGTTAATCGCGTCATATTAGCAATGTGACGAGTTACTAAAACATTTGACAGCTAAACTCTATCTTAGTCGTTAGACGGTTAATGGCAACTATTTCGCGACCTTAAGTGTCTAAAATTTAAACGACAATTTTAATCTGAGCGTAATGTAACGGGGTAAGTGTCAATCGAGTTCGCTGTTGCAGCACAAGAGGTACTGGATGAAAAAAGTGCATTAAGTTGGGTTAAGTGGTTCGATTACTCGGCCAATCAATCACGTGACTGATGCAAGCTTCCCGTGGTGCCACTGGTGTACGTCTGCCGGTACGTTCTCACGTCTGCTATTTGGTTCACTCAATTAATTTTAAATTTTCTAATCTGAAAGTTCGATCCATGATTTTATTTGCTTAAAGTATTCGAATGCGAATCTTATGTAAACAAGTGTATAAACTATATTGATTTACCTATATTAAGATTTTTTTTTCTGTATCTGAAATGATATTCAGAAATTTCATGTTGTTATTTTGTCCTTCTCCCACCCCCCTCATTAAATCTATTGTGATCTTGGTGTAAGGTTTCATGGCGAAATTTGAGCCGTGTTAGCAAAGTGAATGCAGTTTGTGCAGTTCAAAACTTTAGCTAGGTGAATGCAGTTTATGTATTTAAAAACTTTAGCTAGGTGAATGAATGCAGTTTGTGCAGTTCAAAACTTTAGCTAGGTGAATTAGTGTGTTGGTTGTAGTCAAGCAGTTGACTACATTGTAAAAACATTCCTCAACTAAAGGGAGGTAACCCAACATACACAGACGCGTTGTTGCCATTAAGTCTTCTTTGGCGAACAAGCCATTTCACAATGTACGCACGTAGAGCTAGTAAATGATATCCTAGAGAGAGAGAGAGCTATAATGTGCTTGGGTCACGCGAGTAAACTTGCGGTACATAGAAAAGCCACAAGTTTGGTCAAATTAAGTCACGTCATTGTTTGTTGACCTGTTTGTTTGTTGATATGTATGGCATACGGGGTTTTAGTTTTAAACCTTAGATTTATTTTGACAGTAAATTAGATTAGCGTCATCTTTATAACAACAGGTCAAGTTTTAATCGAAGGTATGTCCACTATGCATGAAGGCGGGGGCAAGTAGGGTATTAGACTTGTGGTAACAGGACATGTATGTGGGGAGGTTTGTGATAAATTAGCTGTGTGTCTCTCCCCACACGTGCTACTTACAAGTAGGTACAGCTGGATATAATAAATTAAAAAAACTTAATAGGAAACTAGCAATTGTAAATTTCGAATTACCTTTTCATATGTACGGAAGTTAGACAATCCAATGAGACAAATGTTCGACAACTCAGTTCTCAACTTAATTATCTATCCATAGAGATTCACATTCGTCAATTCTTTAAGATTCCAGTTTTGTTTAACACCACGAAGACTAGCTTAGTCTTATAAAGAAGTCGCCCTATAGTGCACATAAAAACCCTGTGAATCGCTACATTCTAGTCTACACAACAATAACCTAAACCCACAGATCACGTGAACCTGTATTTAACCTAATCCTACAACCACAGGCTTGACTCACTCATGTAATACCTGACCTAGGTACCTGACACTCCTGTAATACCTGACCGAGGTACCTGAAGAAAGCTCTAAACCTAAACCACTGACTCTAATATTTTAATAAGCACGTAAGCCAGCACACAATCCACTGGCTATGATGTAGCATGTTACTGTTGTTAAAGCATTGTAAGCCAGCACACAATCCACTGTCTATGATGTAGCCTATGTTACTGTTGTTAAAGCATTGTTTGCTTTCGTCTGCGCCGCAGGGGTAAAAATATCTGGAGGCCGCCATCACGTGACTTATTAGCACTGCCTGCACTTATCTACCTAAATCCGGTAACGACCATTAGGAATCCCCATTACAATCTTAACCCACACACAAAAACTCGGTAAATAATGCAGGTAAACAAGAGGATTGTTGACACAGCGATCGCTCCACCCCCTCCCTGTTGACATAGCGGTTGCTCCACCCCCACCCCAACTGACAAAACGCCCCTCCCCCCTCTACGGTGGTGGCGCCATTGTTCCATATGTTAATCTATGTCACTACCAAGTGATTTGTATGTATTTAGCGAGAAGCCTGTAGGGTCAAAACCTTACTTGATCGACTTTTTAAAAAGTCAAACCCGGGTCAGTTCGGTCACTTGCTACTTGAGAATGACGTTTGTCTCGAAATTGGTTTCACGCAGAATAGTTTAGAGTGAATAAATGTTTTAGGTTATGCTGGAGGGGTGGGGGGGGGGGGGGGGGGTGTGTGAGAGGGTCGTTGCTTGATTGTTGTGTGTTGTGATCAGAATGTGTGACAGTCTAACTTTTCTACCGCCAACCTTCTCTGAGGCTGTGTAGATTTATGTGTGCTGTAGATTTACGATCCCACGCATTCAATCATAAGGAAAACTAAATTTGATACTCCGCTCCGACAAAAGCGATTCTTCCAGACTCGGCTGATATGAGAGGAGGGCTAAGATATTGTTCTGCTAATCTACTCTATTGAAATAGTGTATGTAACACAAATGTACAACAAAAACTCCTACCATATTGTCTGGCGGACTGGTAGTGAGGTGACTAGGAACTATATTCTGTACCCATCCTCACGGGACTACATAAATCTCCAGACGTCACCAGCCGTGTGTCACTTTTGACGTCACCAGCCGTGTGTCACGTCTGACGTCAATAGCCGAGTGTCACGTCTGACGTCACAACAGCCAAGTGTCACTTCTGACGTCACCAGCCGTGTCAGGACTGACGTCATTAGCCGTGTGTCACGTCTGACGTCATTAGCCGTGTGTCACGTCTGACGCCACAACAGCCAGGTGTCACGTCTGACGTCAATATACAAGTAGCAACGCTTCATACTCGCATGCCTGTATATAGATAACCAACCCAGTACCTGTATGTCGGAAAACTGTTTATGGATAAATTAAGAGTCAACCGTAAAGATCAGGTTAAAAGAGCTCTACTCAAACAAGTGCAACGAAGAGGGGGTTAAAACTGCCTCGACTGACCGGCGCCTTATATGAGCTATATTACGACAAAAAAAACTGTTGCCGAACGACACCCCACCCCCTCTTGACATGTTGTGATGGTAACAAAAAAATATTATTCCCGTCTGAAAAACCCTTAGAGTCATTAGATTTGTCCAGATGCCGTATTTTCTTATATAAACAACTAGGCATACTGCCTAGCTTCGCTTAGGTTTTCAAAAACATTTGAGAATTAGAATGCTCAGGCATATTTTGCAACGTTGAGTTAATGTAACTTCCCCCCCCCCCCCACAAGGCGATTCCTTTAAACTGCGTTAGTATTGTATCTATAGACGGTTAAAAATACAGCTTGTTTGCAATTTTTTGCCTTGGTGTCACCCCCCCCCCCCCTAAATAGTGTCACCCGGTGCCCCCCCCCCCTTTGCTACGCCTATGGTGCAGCCGTAAAGAGCTCTACATAAACAAGTGCAGCCGTAAACATCAAGTTAAAAGAGTTCTACAAGTGCAGCCGTAAATTTAAATATGTAGCTGTCGAGAGTTGTGTGTGGATTACAGACCGCCCAACTAGTAAATCTATCACGTCCATCTACCACACAGTCTACAGCTAATGTATTTGCGACTTAGTCTCCGGATAATGTTACTTTCACTTTCATCTCCAATCTATGGCCTAGACCACAGTTAATTTATCTGGCAAGTTCACCACAGGATTAGCAGCGGACGTAAAACAAGATAAGACAATTTGTTGGACTAAGGGAGATAACCGTGTCTCATCAATTTGTGTTAATGTATTGTAAAGGAGATCTATTTGTCCTTAGCTAGATCTATCTCCGATCCGGTAAACTCACAATGTCTGCATGGATATTCGGGACTAATTAAAAGTATTCATTAGCATTTAATTTCCTAAGAATGTCTTGATTAAGCTATTGATCATACAAACTGTATTTGTTTTTCATTTTATTTGTATTTTGATTGCAAAATAAAATAATAAAATATAATTTAGCTTTTAAATATTGATTCAAATTTATAGTTTTCGCTACCAAAATAAATATCAACTTCTCAACCACCGGATGTATTATCTGGTTCATTAAATATTTTTATCACGGTTACCCAGAAATGTGTTGTGTAGCTAAAATACGAGATCAACAAGAGGTGAGAACCTCTTAAACACACACAGGAAATGAAGTAAATCACCTTTAACCACACGGGTTAAACTAGCCTTTAACCACATGGGTTGAACTCGCCTTAAACCTCACGGGTTAAACTAGCCAAAGTTTAACCACACGGGTTAAACTAGCCTTTAACCACACGGGTTGAACTCGCCTTAAACTTCACGGGTTAAACTAGCCAAAGTTTAACCACACGGGTTAAACTCGCCTTTAACCACACGGGTTAAACTAGCCTTTCACCACACAGGTTAAACTAGCTTTTAAACACACGGGTTAAACTAGCCAAAGTTTAACCACACGGGTTAAACTAGCCTTTTATCACACTGGTTAAACTAGCCTTTTAACCACCCAGGTTAAACTAGCCTTTAAACACACGGGTTAAACTAGCCAATGTTTAACCACACGGGTTAAACTAGCCTTTTACCACACTGGTTAAACTAGCCTTTTAACCACCCAGGTTAAACTAGCCTTTAAACACACGGGTTAAACTAGCCAAAGTTTAACCACACCGGATAAACTAGCCTTCAACCACACAGGTCAAACTAGCCTTTAACCACACGGGTTAATCTAGCCTTTAACCACACGGGTTAATCTAGCCTTTAACCACACGTGTTAAACTAGCCTTCAACCACACAGGTCAAACTAGCCTTTAACCACACGGGTTAATCTAGCCTTTAACCACACGGGTTAATCTAGCCTTTAACCACACGGGTTAATCTAGCCTTTAACCACACGGGTTAATCTAGCCTTTAACCACACGGGTTAAACTAGCCTTTAACCACAGAGAGTAAGTGGAGTCACAATCTCAGAGGACCACGCCTAGAATCAAACATATTTACATAACAGCAGCTAACCACGCCTATTTACATAACAGAAGTTTTAGAGCTGACAACATGGATCAGCCACGCCCACCCTAAAGTACTGTGTAGTAGGAGATAAACAAGAGTTGTGTGACTAGAACAGGCGTGTGGTCACAAAACATTAACAGTCCCGGGTGGTCACAAAACGGTCACAGTCCCGGTCAGAAACCGGTCACAGCCCCGGTCAGAAAATATTAACAGCCTCGGGTGGTCACAAAACATTGACAGTCCCGGGTGGTCACAAAATGGTCACAGCCCCGGTCAGAAAACGTGACAGTCCCGTTCAGAAAACGGTCAGAGTCCCGGGTGGTCAGAAAACGTGACGGTCCCGGGTGGTCAGAAAACTTGACGGTCCCGGGTGGTCAGAAAACTTGACGGTCCCGGGTGGTCAGAAAATGTTAAAGATAAAGACAGTGAGGTCAAACCAAGAGAAGGGTGGTGAAATCAAAGCGCGTAGTTGAGATAAATTAATTAAGAGTATTGATTATTTTATGTTTTCTTAATTAAGAATGATGCGCAATGATGCAAAGTGTAATTATATCGAGTAAAATTAGTCCTTGCACATAAACTCACCGAGATAATGCTTTACTTTTGTTACTTAGATAATAGCTTACTTTTGCTACTTATAAAATAACTTACTTTTGTTATTGACCAAAATTAGTCCATGCGCATCAATAAAATCACTTAGACAATGACTTAATATTGTTATTGAGTAAAATTATTCCATGCACACAAAGAAGTTCACTTAGAATAATAGCTTACTTTTGTTACTTAGATAATGACTTACTATTGTTACTTAGATAATGACTTACTATTCCATACAAATCAAGAAACGCATTAAAATAATTACTTACTTTTGTTACTTAGATAATGACTTACTTTGGTTATGGAGCGTCACTATTCTATAAAAATCAAGTAACTCATTAAAATAATGACTTGCTTTGTTAGGGAGCGACATTAGTCTATACAAATTAAGAAACTCATTAAAATAATGACTTACTTCTGTCCAGTCGTAATGGCGTTGAGGTTGACAATTTTATTGTTAGATGCATTATCTAGGGGGATACCGTAGCCCTCCTCCATGGTGCTCGATCTGTGACATAAATTATACATAATTATATATATATATATATATATATATATATATATATATATATATATATATATATATATATATATATATATATGTAGATTAACATTTTTTTTATGTTGGGCGTGGTCCAATCGAAATTTCGTTCAGCGTTATATGTTGTATTTTATTTGTTGTATTGACGAGAAAGACGAACCGTTATACTAGGCAGATGGTTGTGGTGTTTTTCTAGTGACCCCAGCAGATGGGTCAGCTACTGAGTTGTAGCACATAACCCTAAGCTTACTGAGTTGAATAACTATATATTTTTATGTTATATGGGAAAATTAAAAAATAGAAACGTGCTTTTCGTCTTCGTCCGTCATAGGTTAAAATGTACGAACAAAACTTCACCTACTTCCACCCAGCTGATTTTTTCCAAACTTAACACGCAGGTTAACGATGCACCGTGATATGAATTTTTAGATAATAAGATTTTTTTTAATTAATGTTGTATTTTACTAATTAGTTGAATGTACTAATCTTTTCGCACTTTTCATTCAGTGTGTTTATTTGGTGCGCAAGCGTTTTTAGTTTAGCTATAGGTTTTATTAAAATTAGCTGCTCTATTGGGTATTGAATACCTGTACCAACATTTTAAAAGCAATCCACGCTTTCTTTTATAGTTAACATATATAAATCGCTTTGTTTCATC